ATTCATCCAGAGACACAACAGACAGCTGCCTCCGTGGCCAAGGATTTCTGCTAAGTTGGCTCTAGCTGGAGGGGGAATGGATGCTCCGGCCACGGGGCACGATATCATGCAAGGTGTGGAGAAGGCGGGCTAGACTAGACCTGAATCAGTGGGAAGCGGATGGTGGGAAATGCTGGAAAAGGTCAAACGAGGTGGTTCAGTGCCGCACGATCGGGGGTGGGCCGCCAACTCGGAGGGCTTTGGTTTGGAAGGGGTTTGGAGAAGCTCATGGGGGAGAAGACTGCCAGTGGGCCCCTCCCAGGCTGGAGGCAGGGCTCCTAAAGAAGTCACCACAGACCTGGGTCACTTCAACACATTTATTGTGTAAAAGCCCCCCAAATATACCCTAATTGGTGCCCTTCGTATACTCAGCAGCATTTCAGGCTTCTGAGCTCCATTGTCTGGGAGCGATGGTGCTGATAGAGGGGCCGACACATCTTTTCCTCTTGTTGAAGATGCTTGCTTGGCCCCGTTCTTTTGGGACCTGCGTCCCCAGGAAACTCGGTGGTCAGGGCTGTAGTGCAACTCAGGGCATATATTGGATGGGGGGGGGGGGCGGTATCTCACAGCAGCCCCCTTTCCTTTTGTCGGAAGCCTGCTGGCATGATAGGATGACCTGAGGAGGTCAGCAAACTGCGGAGAAGCATCTCATTAATTTGCAGCCCCAAACCCAGAATATGGAAAATCTCTTGGCTAGATGGGAGAGCAGCTTAAGGCTTTTCCGTTTCAGCGATGTGGGCAGCCACATCGGTACCTAGAGAAGCCTGGCAACGTGCCCAAACATATCTGGTGAAACATAAATGACAGGCTTCCAGTAAAAATGTTGAAAGTACCTGCTCCAAAGTGTGTGTTTTGAAGGGGAAAAATCCCTAATCCATATTTCCAAATATAAACCCGCTTCCTGTTGGTTTAATTTTACAATCCTTGCTCTTTACCCCCCTTCTCCTCTGCATAAAGAAGCACTGTTAGCCAGGCTTTCAAAATAGATTCTCAGAATGGATTTCTTTCTTAAAATGCTTATTATGGTCAATGCCTTGTCGGGCTTGTCATCTCCTCCTTCAGTCAGTCTTGGGAGTTTTCTTCTCGTAAACTGGTCGCTCTGACAAGTTGCTTTGCATCTGCAGCGAAACAGGCAAACGAACTAACCGGCCCAAGCAATGCTCATTGCTGCATTCAGAAAACCCCAATTCCATATCAGCAGCCCTGGCCTGGGCATGGTTACTCCCCGGTAACTCCCACTTTGTTCAGTAGGGCTTGGTCCTCGGAGGGTGTGGAGCAAGTCTTAACTTACGTCTCCACCAGAGTTTGATCTCACTTTCATTCCTGTTTCAGGGCCAGGGCTTCCCTGAAAGAATTTTGGGAATTGTAGAACTCTGAGGGGGCAATTTTATAGGAATGCCGATAGGTCTCCAGAGGCAGAGGTGTCCTATGAAGGGCAGGGGGTACGTTGGCGGTGAGCTTCTCTGATACTCCAGCCCTGCAAGTCAGGTAGGCAGGTGATTTTGGCCACCTGTCTGCAGTGCTTTGGAGGGGGAGAGAAGGGGGGCCGGTGCTTTGCCCTCCTGTCCCTGTAACCCCTTCTCTGAGATCACCCTTCCAACTTCATAGAAGCATTGGGCACAAATCTTTTCATACTAGCTGCGCTGGGGGAAGGGGGAGCTGTGGGTAGACCCCCAACTCTGAGGTCAGAGCGTTTTTTCTGACCCTGGATCTGGGGATCTGAACTATCCCACAACCCTTGAGACGTGTAGGGGGCCAGGCAACTGCTGAGAAGCCCCTGCTCAGTGCTTAAAGGATCCTTTTAATGTTCCGCTGTGCTGCCTCATCCATTGGATTTTATGGGTGGTGGTGGGTTTCGAGAGACAGCATCTTCTCCTGATTCCCTGCCTCATCTCCCGTCCTTTCTCTTCCTGGGGGAGGGGGACATGAAGGAGGGAAAGATGGAAGGACTACATATTTGATTGGTAGCGCTAGAAACCCTGGGGCTGGTACCTTTGCCTTGCCCCCCACTGATTAAGCCGACTTGTCCCACCATCTGGTTGACAAGGTGTTGGGACAATCTCATGGTTACGCCGGTACCTGTCTCTGGAAGCCATGGCGGGTAACTTGTGCCCCCGCCTCTTGTTTTGGACTACAATTCCCATTGGCCCTATGGAGGGAGGATCATGGAGTGGTAGGCCAAAACACCCGAAGGGCCATACATTGCCCACCTCTGTCCTACTGAAAGGAAGGAGGGCAAAGCTAATTCACCTGGATGACGTCCAAGTCCGTGATTGGAACCGCAGTTGCACCTACCCCAAGGACGGAAGTCAGCAGGGGCCCGGGTGCTTTTGATCTTTAGGAAGCTGCGGGCTCTTCCTACCTGGGCATCCGCAGCCTCACCTTCTTGTGCAAAGGGCACGAAAGCCGCAAGGGTCTTTTGGCTACCGTGCGGATGGAGGCAACCTCTCAAGCCTCTGCAGAGGAATGTTGAGTCTTGTACGGACTTTTACAGGATCAACAGTTCATAGACACACACTGACTTATCAGCCTGGCATTGTGTATGCCCATGTTTTAAAGTAAGTCGATTTCCATGACCTTTAATGATCAGATAGCTAGGGGAAGTTTTCACAAGTTTTTATGTGACTTTCTGCTTGGTCCTAATCGTGCTGCTGATAAACATGTACAGGTGTGGGCCGTATCAGCCTGTTGATAAAGACAGATAACTTGTACATGCGCACGTCCACATGGAACATGCAGCTGCTGGAGGCGCTATGAGCAGAGGAGGAGGAAGAGAGGGCTGCGATGCAGGTGGCTGGCCCCATGGGGTTTTCGAGCGTTTGGCTCCATCTTTGGAAAAGCACCTCTTGGACTAGCCTTTTCCACCCCAGAGCCCTCTGGAAGTGTTGGACTGCAACTCCTATCACACCAGCCTGACTGGGGAGAATGGGGGTTGCAGTCCAAAGTGTCCGGAAGGCACTGAATTGGGAAAGGGTGGCGTGGGTTCTTCTGCATTTTTCATCCCTCTGAATTCACATTCAGGAAACCAGGCGGCTAAAATAAGCTGGGACTTTAAATAGAATGGACAAAGTTTCTTTCTTTCTTTCTTTCTTTCCTTCCACCCCCCAGTTTAAAAGCAGGAGAGAGAGAAAGAGAGAGAGAGGCAGATTTGCGAAGTAAACTTAGCACGGCTGAACTTTCCGCCAAAGGACAGGATGACAGGACAATAGATCATCATCCGGAAGGCAAAATTTGCTGCCAAGTCTGGCCAAACACTGAGGTTTCAGACTTTGAGTACAGTGGCTTCCCACGTGGAGCACATGGGTCATTTGTGTAAGGTTTCTTCGCACAGTTTTCTTTCAAGTGACGGATGCTAGAAAATGGCATTTGGATTAGGGAAGTAAGGACAGGTTCTTAAGTCCACAGCTCTGCAGAACCACAGCCTGTCCGGGGGACTGGACTTTGCACTCCTGGTGGGTCACAGGAAGACTGCACGGGGCCGGGGGAACTTCACCCCAGATGCGTTAGCTGACAACAGCTATCATCCCCAGCCTACATGCCCCGTGGCTACTGTTTCTACAGTGGCTACAGTCACTGTTTCCAGTATCAGGGGCCCTGAGTGCTATTTGCTGAGGAACATGGGGAAGAGGACTGGAGATCGTGGAAACTGAATGCTGGCCCAGACAGGTCTTGGGTCCGATCCAGCCTGATCCTTCCTGTGTTGGCACGATGGGAGTGGTAGTCTGTCGTGGAATCTGGAGTGGGCCACATTGCTGCGGGCTGACTTAGGGCATGAATGCACCACAGGCACAAGCTGGGCTAAGTTAGTCCCATGCTTCGTGGGCCCTGGGAAGTGCAGTTTTGTGAGGAGGCCTCGGGAAATCCTATATACCAGAAGTAGGGGACCTTTCCTTTCTATTGTGGGTCACTTTCCCTCCAGAGTCATTTGTCTGGGCTCACATGCCAGGATCGGGTGGACGGAGGCAACATCCACATCCTTCGCCCTCCGTTTCTCACCCCTTTCTCTTTGGACGTTTGCCTGTCCCTTGGGCTGCGATCCACCGGAGAGGGCCGCCGTCCTTCACCGCATGGCGGAGCCAGCCCGGTCTCCTGGCTGCTCGCTGACTGGGACGGTTACCTCTATTGCCACATAGCAGGACCGGCCCTCTCTCCTGGACCATAGCCAGATGAGCTGACTGGCTCACTCAGCCCCTGGTAGGACAGACTCTGCTACCTGGCCAATCTCCTGCCTGCAGAAAACACACAAATATCTTATTTATTTATGTATGTATTTATTTAAAGCCTTTTTATCCTGTCCTCTCCCAGAAGTCTCAGGACGGTAGTGCAGTAAGAAATGGGCCATCTGAGCACAGCCTTCGACATGCCAGAACTCTACCTTTGTTTGAAGGTAGTGAGATGGGAAGAGGTCTCACACAACCCTTTATGTTCGAGAACTGTGTGCAGAATTGGTTTCTTTCCCTCTTCACAGTGATGGGGCTCTCCTGCAAACAGCGCTGTGGCATTCTCTCTCCTCCTTTCAATTCTTGACAGTATTAGTGAAAGGCAAAAGCAGAAGGAAAGAAAAGGTGACAGTTTTGCCCCTCGGTTCTACGTCTGCAGCAAGCGCTAGAAAGTGGGAGAGTTTGGATGCCAACAAACCACCAGGGAACTTAAAACTCAAAGAATAAATACTGGCATGGTTCTAAAAGCAAGGCGACTTTAAATTCTCTCTGCAAAGCGAGTTGTTCCATCTCTCCTGTCCTGGGGTTTTTTTTTTTTCTCTCTCTCTCTCTCTCTTTTTTTTGGGTGACTATGAGGAAATGGCTCAGCTATTGTTTTTGGACTGTTGACTTCCAGAAGCAGTAGTATGAGAAAGAAAGCTATTTTTTGTCATGTGTATTTTAGAGCATGGCAGCCATCCCTTCCCCCCGGCTGAAGTGGCCCGGCTAAATTGGTATTCTCTCTTTTGTCGACACTGGTAGGTGTACGTGAATGGAGAATGGGTCACGAGCATCGGAGAAGGAGGCAGCTTCGGAGAGCTCGCCCTGATCTATGGGACGCCAAGAGCCGCTACGGTCAAAGCCAAGACGGACCTCAAGCTTTGGGGCATTGACAGAGATAGCTACAGACGCATTTTAATGGTGGGTCTAACGCCTAATTGCTTGCTTTAGTGATTGCCGCTGTTGAAGTGGTTCCTTTAATGATGCCTTTGACCTCCCTTGCACTCTCCCGACTCCGTAACAAAGGTGGAAGGCTCCCTAAGTAAGGCCGATCTATTTGGAGGAGAAAAACACACAGGAAAGGAATGCTACCTCCCGAATTATCTTTGTGAGAAACAGGAAGCCACTCCAGAAATGTGGCAAGCAGGAAATCTGACGAGACCCAGCTGAGGCCATGGGTAGCTGGCCCCAAACCTAGGCCTGAAATGTGTGGAAGGTGGGTGTCTGCGAACCAGAAAGAGAGGCAGGTGCACTTCTGTCGACCCAAGGCAAGGGGTGGATCATAGTTCTCATGCCAGGTGTGTCCAGCTCAGCCCAGCAAGCTGGCGAGGGTTTTTTTAATCCGGGGTGTTCTGCACTATGCTTGTTCCTTCCAGGGGGACTTGCGCAGCATCGGTTCCGGCAGGCAGTGGCTCTTGGGGGCGCAATCCCACACATGTTTAGACAGAAAAAAGCCCTGCATCTCTCAGCATTCTCCAGCCAGCCATGACCTTTTGTTTTTGATTTTGATCTTGAACCAAAAACGATGGTCCATTCTTTGTGGGTGAATTATTCTTCCTACACCAGAGGTCGGTGGGGGGGGGTCTTCCCCTTCCTGCCCCCCCTTCCTTTCCTCTCTTAGTCACTTTCTAACTTAGTTAGTGGGAAATATTTCTTGCCATAATTAGAAAGATCGGATGGAACATGTTGTGCAATGCTTTTCTTGTCAGCCGAAACACTTTTGAGATGACCCGGCGAAAACCCACACTGACAAATAGATCTGGGAGTCATTTATCCCTGGCCTGCATGCTTTGCACAAATGACTGTGGGCAAAATCCCGGACACCAGCGCCTCTGGGGCACAGCACTGCCACGTGTAAATGCACCCGGGAGCTATGAAGTACATGTCCTTATTAGGGGATCATTTGTGACTAATCCAAATTAGTTAGTCAGTCATTTCCCACAAATGATCGCTGCGGGAGCTGAACCTGGAGCTGCCGTACGGTGTCTGACAAACTCCCAGGAGCAGAGGGGAAGCCATGGCTTGATTCTCTCCAAATATGGCTAAGGGAAAACAAATTCTGATCTCCAGAGAGGTGATCCTGTGCAGCTGGGATGTGAAGGCTTGGATGCAAAAAGACAGGGGGGAAAATCAGGGAAAAGCAATCCCACCCTTCATAATTTCCAAAAATTCCTGGGGAAACCAACAAACATCTTTAAAAATTCAATCTCCCACCCATTTTTCCCCCGTGTCCTGTTTTCCCAGGAGTCACATCCCTCCATCTCACCTTTGTAGCAAATGCAATGCAGGATATGACCTGAAGAAAGGAGATTGCTTGTGCACTGCCAAAAAAGAGGAAACGCATCCTCAAAAACAAGGACTCAGATTTGCGTCAAAGGCACATATGCCAATTCACATGGATAGAAATCATTATTATAGAAATACCATAGTGGGGGAAAATAGTCTGGATGCGCAAGCTTTGTGGTCCCAGCTGCTCTTCCGCCCTGTGGTTGATTATCTTTCTCCTTGTCCTGCACTTGGCCTGATCTGTCTAGAACTGGCCGGTGTCTGGATGGGAGACTACGGTTTGTGCAGGCGCTCGGAGTTTCACGGTGGTGGAAAGACTAACTAGCAGCATTGTGACCTCTGATGCTGTCGCTACTGCACAGGTCATGAATTAGAATAGATCTATGTTCGTGGGCATGTTTATGAGCTAGACTCCACTTGATCAAGTGTTTGAAGCATCTCTTCAATTGGCCAATAGAACAGAAAGCTGGGAGTTGGAAGAGAAAATGGGAGAAAACCCACAGGGCAGAATAGATGCTTCTGCGAAATGCTGAGATGCATGCAGATAAGTACCGTGACTGTTCAAAATGGCAGGTAGTGAGGCCAACCCAATCTTTCTAGTGTTGCTGGGAAAATTTAATGCCCAGAGAAATCCATGGTGCTGAGTGTTCTTCAGAGCCGTTTGACATGATTCGCATATTCACTGCACTCCAGGGCGTATTTTAGGTATTGCACGAAATGAAGGTGTGTTTGTTCGTTTGTGTGCCGTCTTAGGAAAAGAAATGTGCAGACCAGCCAAACTTTACAGGTACTGTTGCGCTGCACCATTTCGGGTGAGGTCTGGGCGAATCTGCATTGTTTGGGTTCACCGAAGTTCTGCAAACTCTTCCTCAAAGCTTGCCTTTCTGCATCCACATTCACTTAAAAAAATGGATCTAGACATGGAATGAAATGAGTGTAAGTTGGAACAAATGAGAAAATGAAATTGTGAGGTTATGAAACTGATGGATTATAAAATGGACAAAGAACCCAAAACTGACAGATTTGTCCATCCCTTTCTCCTTCCTTCTGATTGCCACTTTTTTCTTTCTTACTGTCTTCCTGCTGTTTTATTTTTTTCCACCTCTGCCTATGCCTCCTGCTGCAACTGCACGCACTATCTTGGAAAGGAATTTAGGGGTGTGTAAATCAGTAAAACTCAAGCTCACCAAACTTCTCTGAAATCCATTTTAAAATTTGTTCTGACTTGAGTCGATATCCGAATGTGAGCTTTCTTTTTTTCTCTTTGCATGAAAATCTGTGCATTTTTCCTTGTGCAGTCTTTCAAATTTCAAACATTTTTGAAATGGACAGATTTTTTGAAATGTATTAATGTCAAGAGCTTAGAGTCCTCAGCTGCTCCCTGCAACTGAGTTCATGGACCTTCCAAAAGTTGTGAACTGGATAAAATCCTGATCAGAATCAAACTGAAATGAATCACTCAGGACTCAAACACTTTGCAGATCCATGCTTCCAAAGTTCTCCTTCGCCAGCAACACTTCAAAGGCCATTTTGGAACCTGAAAACATTTGGAAAATACATTCTGAAATATCCAACTTCGCAATTCTATGAAAACAAAATGCAAAAAATGTAACCCAACTCCATTTGGCATGAGTGCAGGAGGCAGTTCTGAAGAAATGGGATTTCATACTCCATACAGATACTCTGTTTTGCACTCTACCAAGAATGTACATTCTAAGCATAATTCCATAGCAGGCTCACATAAGGCTTAACCAAAACTCTATTCCAGGACCTCAAGCCAACGGCACATCTGCCTGGTTTGACCTTTTTAGTTCGGACTGGAGTCTGGTTCTGCCATCCTCTTGGGCTTCATTGGTCGGCTTCTTAACTCAAGGAGGAGTTTTCCAGCAAACAGCCAACCGAAGCGGGAAACACGGGTGGAGGAGGGCTCAAGAAGGAGAGGGAGAAGGGGAGATGAGCAGCAGAAATGAGTGGGGGATTGAGGTTCAGCGGGGTGAGCAATTGATTGATTGGAGGAACAGAAGGAAACGAGAACCACGGAGGCTGAAGTCCAGGCAAGTGGGCGGCTTGGAGTGTACTTTGGATGATGACAGATCTCCTTGGTAGCATTGTGCACCCCAGCAAATTGTGCAGTCCAACCTGTAAATCTTTTAGAACTCCCTTTTCACAGCTCCAATGTCCTGTGGGCTTTCCTCCCCCTCCTTCTTTCCTCCCTTCCTTCTGGGATGGTTGTACTGGATGCTCGGAGTCTCACTGCAAGGTCTCCACTGCCATAAACCGATGGAGGGCGGGCACCGTTGCCCCCCGCCGCGTGGCATGCGGCATTCGCACGCGTGCTGTCTTCTGTCCGCAGTGGGTTCCACGAGTTTGTCGCGCCAGCCGGAGCGGCTGCTTCCTCAGGGGAGATGATGCATTTCCTCTGGATGCCGCCGATGGCAGAAATGCTCGTTTCTGGGAAGAGGCAGGTGGTGGAGTCCTTGGTATGAGCTCCGCTGGCCTCACCGGAACGAGAGTCTCCGTCTAGGTTGCCCGGGAAGAGCTAGGAGGCCGAAGCACGGGGGGGGGGGGGGGGGGGG